TTTCTAAGCCCACCCGAGGGTGGCAAATCCAAGTCTTAGCCTACTTGCGGGTAGCACCATCAAACCATTTTCAAATAAACAAACATGAGATGTTTCGTTCCAATTCAGGCGATCCAGTCTATACTTGTATGCTGTGCGTATCACATAGTAAATCCAGATTAATAACCGGAATAAGAACGCATAATGTTTTCAAAACTAGATGTCATGGTTAGTAGAGGCCGATCTTTGATCGGGCGAGCGGCGGTGCTCACGAAGTGACCTTCCCTAATCGTACCCAAGTTCCCGAGACGAGGCAACTTTGGTGATGACGAACACGTGGCCTTAGGCAATGAGTCAGGGTTTCCTAAATTTTCCAAAATAAAATATTTAGGTGGCGACTCTGTATCTGGCAAAGCAGTCCATGTTTGGCACTTCTTTCAAAAAATCTATTTTCAAAAACGATTTGCCGGATTTGGACTCTTTGATGATTCATCGGTCTTGCATTGCACTTTGCGAGGTTAGATACAAGACCGTGACAATATGAGTCCGAACTATAGAGAGGCCCGAGGGCGCGTCTACAAGGTGTTATGGCATACCTTTAAATCTCTGGAATAGGAGCACATTTAACAGCATTGGAAGCTTATGGGGTTCAGTTCTCAACTTGGATGGAGATATTTGTCAACCAAAGGTCTTCTCCCATACCAGAATCAGAGTGGTTACATCTTGTATGGAGTTTATAAACAAAACTATATTATTGGAGTGCAAGGGTAAAATACATCTCATTCTTCTGTGTAAAGATCTAATATCAGACTCTAGTAACATAAAGCACAATGGCATGGAAGAGAGCAACTCCAATGACATTTGTGGCAGTGAGGTAGCAGAAGACAAAGTGCACAGCCCAAAAAGTGAAATGGTGGTAACCACAGTTGTTGAGGAGACAAAATGGGATAAAGGATTCAACAGAGATAATGGAGCATGTACTAAGGAGGTAGGAGGTAGAAAAAAGAAAATGGCCTATTGACTGTCACACGGGAGAGGATACAGCGGAAACTATGTTGGAGGAGTCGGTGCATAGCCCAAAAAGTTAGGTGCAAGTCTCTACTCCTGGATTTATCAAAAGCTTTAGTGGATCTAGAGATAGACTTGGGCATGGCATCAATCTTGAAGTGGATTTGGCCCAAGCACTAAGTAAGAACTTAAATGAAAGGGGCATTTTGAGCCTAAATCATGCAGGCCTTGCTAGGTAACCTGCTTCTATTCATAAATTCCTGCGGCTTAAGGAGAAAAAAAATGAAGAAGAAGGTTCAGTTAGAAGGGTTCACTAGTTTTGCTAGACTTCATGGGCATAAAGTTGCTACAGTCAGCAAGTACACCTCCAAGTCTGTCCTCTACTAACTAGTAGCAGCTGCTATAGCACATTTAGATCTGTCTGAGGGTGCTACAAGTCCGAACAATTATCTCCTCAAAGAAGCTAAAGCCACTTTATAATTGGGGAAATCTCTTGGCATCAATTTCAATGGGGAAGAAGATGTTATTCTGAACAAGATTATTGAGCTAGAACTAAAGGATAAAGAGAGAATCAACAACGAGGGGTAGGCCTGTGAAGAAAGGTAGAATCAAGAAGCTATTATGTTTGTGGGTCATTTGTAGGATTATTGGTTTGGCTTTAAGTATCAAGAGTTGGAAGCAAGATTGTGTAAAACTCTTCTGTTGGCAATAGTGTGGTAAGTGTGGAGGATTTAAAGTCAAGAGTGCTCTTGTGGGTTATAAGCAATTGTAAAACTAGTCTTTGGGTGGCATCAAGTGTTGGCTTAAGCTAGTGTTGGTTTCTCACCAACATTATGCTTTGTTCCCCTTTTTCCTTTTTCCTTTTCATCCTTATTCATATAATCTCATATGTAATATATGTTTTCTTCCTCAATAAAAATTTTCTTTGCTGATAAAAAAATAAAAAATAAAAAAAACTATTACTTTGACCTGATTATACTAGAACTGAAATTCATAATTAAAGTTAAGAAACTTTGAATAGTAAGAACATTCTAAACCTAATAAAGATTGCATATAATGTCCCTTGAGAATACCCAATGACTTTCATAATTAATTCTCAACAATTTTGACATTGCCAAACTAACTTATTAAATTAAGAATCTATCAACCATATTTTTTTTTTTGATCAGCAAAGAAAATTTTTATTGATGAAGAAAACATACATTACATATGAGATTACATCAATAAGGATGAAAAGAAAAAAGAAAAAAGGGAACAAAGCATAATGTTGGTGAGAAACCAACACTAGCTTAAACCAACACCTGATGCCACCTAAAGACTAGCTCTACAAAAGCTTATAACCTACAAGAGCAGTCAGACTTTAATTCCTCCACACTTACCACACTAATGCCAACAGTAGAGCTTTACACAATCTTGCTTCCAAAAAACATTCCTACAATCCTACCAATGACCCACAGACATAAAAGCTTCAAGATTCTACCTTTCTTCACAGGCCTACCCTTTGTTGGTTCTCTCTTTATCCTATAGCTCTAGCTCAATAATCTTGTTCAGAACATCTTCTTTCCCATTGAAATTGATTCCAAGAGATTTCCCCAGTCGTAGAGTGGCTTTAGCTTCTTCGAGTAGATAATTGTTCGAACTTGTAGCACCCTCAGACAAATCTGAAAGTGCTATAGCAACTGCTGCTGGTCGGTAGATGACAGACTTGGAGTTGTGCTTGCTAACTGTAGAAGCTTTATCTCCATGAAGTCTAGCAAAACTAGTGAATCCCTCTAACTGAACCTTCTTCTTTCTTTTTTTCTACTCAATCCGCGGGAATTTTTGGACAGAAGCAGTTTGCCTACCTAGGCTTGAATGATTTAGGCTCAATATGCCCCACATTTAAGTTCTTACTAAGTGTTTGGGCCAAATCTACTTCAAGATTGACGCCATGCCCAAGTCCATCTCTAAATCCACTAAAGCTTTTGATAAATCCAGTTATAGAGACTTGCACCTGACTTTTTGGGCTATGCACTGACTCCTCCATCAAAGTTTCCTTTGACTCCTCCCCGGTGTGACAGTCAATAGGCCCTTTCCTCTGTTCTCCCTCCTTGGTACATGCTCCATTAACTCTGCTGAATCCTTCATCCCAATTTGTCTCCTCAACAACTGTGTTTACCACCATTCCACAGTTTGGGCTATGTACTTTGACTCCTGTCACCTCAACATCTTCTTCTTTCTCCTTGCAACACTCCTTTGGAACTTTTCCTTTCACTTCACTGCCACAGATGTCGTTGGAGCTGCTTTCTTCCATGCCATTGTGCTTCATGTTACTAGAGTCTGATAGAAGATCTTCACACACAAGAATGGCATGAAGTTTACCTTTACACTCCAATACTATAATTTTGTTTATAAACTCCATACAAGATGTAACCACTCTGATTCTGGTATGGAAGAATACCTTTGATTGACAAATATCTCCATCCAAATTGAGAACTGAACCCTATAGGCTTCCAATGATGTTGAATGTGCTCCTATTCCAGAGATTTAAGGGTATGCCATGACACCTCAACCACATACATCTCTCTTGTTCGATATGAACTCCTAGCTTCCATTCCACCACAAACTGAATCCAATCCTTTAACCATTCTTTGATATTACATACATTTGATTTAAACTCCTCTTGAGATTTGAAGGTTAAAACTATATCTCGTCCTCCCCCTTTTCTGACCAATACCTGATCCACCCATTTCTCCTTCAGGGCATTTTCAATGTAATAAGTGGGGTATTCAGTATTAAGCCTAACTATTGCACTATCATAGAGCCAGCCATGGCCATCATCATTGACTTTTAAGCTCAAATTTGTTTTCCCAGCCACAATGGGTGAGACCCCATTTAGTCAATCAGCAAAGGATCTTTGGCCTGCAAAAGAACCTTCAACCCTGTTTCTGCTTGTTTCAAAATGTTTCCTGATGATCTGAGGCCTACTCCTGCTTTGTTCATCTCTGATGTTCTTCACATACGTAGCTTTTTTAACTTCCAACACCATGTCATCCACCAAAAGACCATTCCCTTTCTGGATGGCAATGTCTGCTGCTACATGGCAATCAAATCTCACAAACCCAAATCTTGAGTTTGTCACTATCCTTCTTTTAGCAGGTATAAAAACATCCTTCACTATCCCAAACTTTATGAAAAGATCGAACAGAGTTTTAGCATCCACTACTAAAGGTAAATTATCTACAAAGACAGTAAATATTCCATGTTTACCCTCATTGCCTTATGCTTCTCCACCTTTCCGCTGCCTCCCAACCGAAATCCAACCTCTGTTTCCTCCTTGCTCCATAACATTTTCAATATGATTTAATAATCAATATGATTTAATAATCAAAATTACTTTAATATTATTTAATGGCTAATAATTTATATGCATATTTAATATTTTTATATATCTATATGTGTATAATTCGGGTTTCAGGTTGTTCGAATTGTTTGATATCTTTGCCCAAGCCTATTCAAATTTAATTCGGGTTTTTGAATTGTTGCCAAAGCTCGTACCGAATTCAAAAATATCTTGTCCAAGCTCTAAAAAGATTCGGGTTTGATTCAAGTTGTTCAGGTTGAGCTCGCCCAAGTTGCACCCCTAGTTTGGAGGGATCGAAGGTCGGAGTTTCTTGATGTTGAGTCGAGTGTTCGCAAAGGTTATGGTGTATCCATTTTTCTTTAAAGGGATGATATGGCCTTGTGCCATAAATGGGAACATCACTATTCTCTATCAACCACATGCTAACATAGAAGAAATACAAAATTAAAACTTAAATTGACACTAAATTACATTATATGATACCCCATACATCCTCTAGAAAGAATTTATTTTTCATATTTTGCATCAATCTATGTTACACAGACTCGTCAGTTTTGGTGAAGTACCCGTGTCGATACGACACGACACGGGTACGGGTACGGAATCCGGACGGGATACGGCATGAAAGAAGTGGATATGGCATATGGAAGTAAGAAGAAAAATGGCATACCTGCGATTAGGGCTACGAAAATTGCGAGATTAGGGCTTCCATCCTGTGATTAGGGATTCGATCTTCTCTCAAACTGTCTTCTTCTCTCTCTCTCTTACTCTTGATTGTTCTCTTCGTTTGTCTCTTCTCTCGATTTCGATCATCTTCATCTCTCTCTTCTCTCTGCTTCGATCAACTTCGTCTATCCCCCTCTCTGTTTTCCTCTCTCCATTCTCTCTGTATTCTCCTCTCTTTGACCGTCTTCTCTTCTCTGTTCTTTTTAATTGGTGCCTATCATATAAATAATATATAATATAAATTATATCATAAATAATATATTGAGAATAACTCATTTTCTTCCATCTTGAAAGTTGTCACCAACCAACAAGTTAATAATTTTTCACCTTTTCACCTACCAATCAAAAGTCAAAAAAGCTACCATCCACCTATCAATTATATAATAATAAATCTAATTAAATAATATATAATAATAAAATTAATAAAATTAATAAAATCTACAAAATACATTATCTATTTTACATTTATTTTAACATAATTTATTATTCCTTATTTATTATATTTTTGTTATTTATAATATATATATGCATTTGTGCCTGGTGGCCTTCTTGGCTCCGTTTGTCTCCATTGCACTTGTTTGAACCTCCTCCTGTCATCGTTACCTTTCCCATAGGTTGCACTCTGAACTACCAAGGCTTTATCATCAACCCATAATCCGTTTGTCTTTTGTTCTGCTACACTAGCTGCAACAGGGCAATCAAAACGAACAAATCCAAACCGTGTGTTTGTTGTTTTCCTCCTCTTTTGTGGAATAAAAACATCCTTAACCACTCCAAATTTTCTGAACAATTCAAACATTCTTCTTGGTTCCATGGATTCTGGTAAGTTGTCTACAAACAGAGTATACATCTGTTCACGTCTTCCTTCCTTGGACCTAACTTGATTTGCTTGTCGATCTCTCCTGTTTAGTACTGGAATCCAACCTCCTCCTGGCATTTCCCAAACGAAACCTTAATGAATGTCCTTTGAACTAACGAAAGTGAATGTCCTATTGATATAGAAATTACAGCTTAAAACAAGTTCAAATTAGATAATACTATAATAGACCATCAAGATATTGCTCCCCATAACATATATTAGTAGGTGCACCACAATGCCTTGCCAAAAGCCTAGTTTATTCTTCTCCACAAGATGCACCTCTCCCCCTTACCTTTGCAATTCAATAATTGATTGAGGTTTTTAAAACCCAAGGAACTAATTTATATACTGCCTTTAACTTCCAGATATGCCCAGAAATGGATGTGAACCAGCCATTTTAAAGATTGCAACTAGTTAGCGCAGGATTACGAGAAATATTCCTACAAAGTACTTTGTTCACTAACAATGCATTTCTAACTAAAAAGCATTTTGATTCTAACCAACTTACTCTTTATTCTCCTTACAAGAAAACAAAATTTAAGACTATCCAATAAAACCTTGGGCGGTATTTGATAAAACTAAAAGTACGTTGTTTGATATGTTTGCTAGGACATTAGAAGAAAACAATGAAACCACCAAAATTATGGTGGTAGGTCAAGCGATAGATCCTTCAATCAAGAGTTTTTTGAGTTTCATGTACATGGAGCCATATTGCTCGAGTTACATGAAGAAAAAGAATCATCACTGGGTAATGTGAACAAAATTCAAAACCTATCAAGGGTGAAGGTAGTGCATTAGTCAACAAAGCTTTTACAAATTTTTACATGACAAAAATTTTTTCAAATGATGGCATGGTCATGGCAGAGCTGGCAATAAAAATTCTTCAACAAGACTACAATGTGTAGAGTACATTTTATGATCTCTTTGATGAAGAATTTCATGAAAGCTTTACCAATCAAATAATGGTCCATAAATTTTTGTGCTTAGTTAAAGATGGGGTAAAAATTTTGGTCATGGCAGAGTTGGCAATAAAAATTCTTCAACAAGACTACAATGTGTAGAGTATATTTTATGATCTCTTTGATGAAGAATTTCATGAAAGCTTTCACCAATCAAATAATGGTCCATAAATTTTGTGCTTAGTTAAAGATGGGTTAAATTTATTGGACAAAATTATTCATTTAATTTTGAAAGACTTAATTGAAGTTTATGTTCAAGAAAATTAATCAAATGTAATGTTGATGCAAACAAGCACAAACATATCAAGTGGCTCTAAGCAACAAATACTCGAAGAAGAATCATGTAGATGAGAATTTTTTAGAAAATCAATATTTTATTTTATTACTTTGAAATTGATATTTGATTAGGAATATTCTAATTTATCATAAAATAATATAGGGGCAACCATTGGTTCAATGATAAAATCTTGGCTTAATAACCTTGAGGTTATGGGTTCCAGTCTCGAGACAACCACTTTATACACTTTGCCAAAAGTTAGATGTGTACCAAATCTTTTCCCTTCTAAACACACATTAATGTGTACTAATTGGGCATTATTTTTTAATATAGAATAATACTTATTTAGCTTTAGATTTGAGATTATTTTGTTTTCCTATTTTGTCAATTCCTTGTTTTCCAAGAATTAGTTTTCATGAATATTCTAATTTTAGTATAGAATAGTATAAAACTTTTAGTTTTTACATTCTAAATGAATTTTTTTTTCCTATTTTCTCAGTTTTGATTTAATTTCCTATTTTGACAATTTTTTGTTCTCCAAGAATTAATTTTCATTATAAATAACTATCACAAGTCTGGTGTCCAATTAGTGTTTGAAAATTAATAATTTTGAGTTTATATCCATCTTCCAACCTTGAGCATTTGTTTTGAATAAATCATGGTTGAGCCTTTATTCTCGATATTCTTTGCGAATCAATTAAATGATTCATTTTCTACTTCAAATTCTTTTGCCATTCTAGAAAAATTCAACTTTAGACTTGAAAAGATTGCTTTTCTTTTGTTGCTACCTCCACTGAATAACAAAAACAAACACCACCTTGAATATTTTAATATGAAGACATTGATGCAATAGCAAATTTTATGGATTCTTATAAACATTTTAAAACTCAATGTCAAGTTTTCTTCAACTAAGGGAGAATGATGCAATCCACAATCAGAGAAAGGAAAATCAAAATTAAGAAAGCATTCATGTTTGGAAATTGTTTGGTTTTGAGTCGAACTCAATTATTGGAATATTTTGGAACCATCCCATGTTACATGGACTCGCATATGAGTATCGGGTACGGGGTGCATGTCCATGAGACTTGGGATATTGGAATATCTATTCAAAATAGGATATGGGTATGGGAACTTGTTATGGACATAATATAATATTCTTAGATAACGTGTTATAAATTATGTAGAAATGCACTTCAAATTGAATAAGAATAAAAAAAATATGAAACTTTAATGTTTCATATATGTTAGAGGTTATAAATGTTTCTTTTCTAGTACATGTAAGTTTCTTATTCTTCAAACATTGTAAACAGTTGGAGAATTCAAGTGTTTAAATTGAGTACGAGTATCCGACACATTCAACACCCTTATCTTTATCATATCCAGTGAATACAGATACTATAGAAGAGTCTATGTAAATTTATAACCAAGTTTCTAGTAACATAGTTTTATTTATAGTTAGTTTAGGTTTGCAGAGTTGTTGGTTAGTTTTAAGGTTAGGGATATTTTGGTAAGTTGTAGAATTTTTGGTCGCCCATGGGCCCTCTTATTGGACAAGTAGTTTAATTGGATTTTATTTATGAATTTTATGTGATCTTGGATATTTTTTTTCTTAGATAGTAGATCATAGATAAGTTTTAAAGGTCAAAAAAGTTAAGAAGTTTCCCTTTAATAATCCTATTCCTAGTTGGAAAAAAGAAGTCTCTAAAATCCATATGAAGTCATGCACTAATTCTAATTTAATAGAGGATATTTTACAATAAAAAATAAAAATAAAAAATAGACCTTTGAAACCTCTTTTGGGGTTGTGTGATGCACACCTAACTCTAGTTGTGGTGCCTAAGGCATTTAGTAGTGATTCCTAAAACTATCTCATTTTCATCCTTCCTTATATTTGTACACAACAGTCCCAGCACTACTGTTCATATCAGCCAACAATATCTCTTATTAGTGCCAAAATCCCATCTTTTTATTAGGTTTGTACAAAAAAATCCAATAGAATCGATAATCCAATCTAAACCAAACCAAACCATACTATTTGGTTCGATTTTGTACAAAACAGATCTTGTCCCGATTTATGTAATGTTGAAAACTGAATAAACAACTAGGTTAATGGACTCATTTAAAAAATCATGGTTCAAACCAAACTGAACCTGCCTTTTAAATATATATATATACCCATAACCCGATAAACCCATTAGTTAGGATTGGGAAGTTAAGTTATGATCCTTTCTTTCTGTTTTTTTCTTTATTGTTGTATCGCCTGTGCTTTGTATTAGTTGATTTATCAATAAAGGCTCTCTTTTGATTGATCTTTTGATTGATCAAAAAAAAATAAACCCATTAAAATTCTCTACTCCAACTGACCCACATCACCTCCTGGTCTTCGGTGCTACATTATCACAACTTCTAGAGACTCAGATAGAAAGTCTTTCAGTCCTCGATCACACCTCTTCATCTTCTCGTCTCATGGACTACATCAAACTATCTTCCATATTTTCAATTTTGTTGTTGGAAATCTCTCTTGGCTATTGAGAAGCTCACTTTTTGCTGATGTTTTGTGTTGAAAAAATCTCATATGATTGCTGGCTGGTTAGGTTTTTTTTAACTGTTCAAAGGGATCATTTTTTGCTGCTGTTTTGCTGCTGGAAAGGACACTTTGTTGCAGTTTACAATTTTCTCCATTGCCTACTTGTCCTAATCAGATCTGGTTTCCAATATTCACTCTTGAATCAACAAAACCTAAGATTGTTACTTCCTTCGTTACACGTTTTTGCTAAATGAGAACACCAAGGATCAAGACAGAAATTAGATAACATAAAGTCCACAAAATCCATAATCACAAATCACTAATAAAAAACTCACATCCTAATTAGAATAAACAAGACTTTTAAAGACGAGGAGTTTCAATTGTGAATAATGAATTGCACTAACCTTTCACCATTGCCCAAGGACAAATCTTTCCACTTACGAGAACAATTTAGGTAAAACCAACTCCAAGCTAGAGGTTAAAAAAATAAATATTATAATCACCTGCTGGCACATATGCAAGGAAGCACAAATGAAGAGGAAAGTAAGTCCTAGCAAGCAAATAGCATGACGACGATAGAGAGCACTCCTGTATATAATCATGCCTCATGCATGAATGATGACAAGCGTGCTCTCTCTCATCGTCAAGCAATCATAAGTCAAGGCTTTGGAAAGATCTGCAGTGAAAACAAAAGGCATGAATTAATGAAGGATCAAAAAATAAGCAAACTAAAAAGTGTTACATTAATACATAGAATAATTGCAGGTGATAGAAACTAAAAAAAATCTAAGATCATAAAGAAAATAACATCTCTTCCATTGCACAGCAATTACTGTTTAACTCCTCTTGACCTTGCAATTGCAACCAATTGCGCAAAGGGGATCACAGCAAAAACAGAACTATGAGATGGAATCATCCAGTCTGTTTGTAAGACTACAATTTTCAACTCAAAGAAGCACCCAAAAAAACCCAGAACTCCGTGTTCTTCCTCGCATGAAATCTAAAAGGACATCTTCAATTAGCAACACAAAATTAACTAACACAAGTGACTATTAGAGGGCAAGCATTTACATTTTCCCAACTCTTGTAAGCATGAAATATCAACAACATATATACATATATATATATATATGTTCCAAAAAAATTGCATATTGACAACTGAAACTGTTTAACTTGGTCATTCACTATAACAAATTAAGATTTTAGAGACACTTTTAGAGACAAAATATTTTAGTTATCAAAAGTGTCATTGTTGAATTTTTATCCAATAACATCATTATTGTGTGTCTTGGCTTGAAGCTTGTTTATTAATTGTTTTGTATCATTGGTTGGAAAGAAAGGTTGATACTTAGATTTTTTTGGATGATGTTATTGGTTAGGTGCTTTTGCTCTTAGTTAGTTTTCTTCCCTCAAAGGAGGTGTTTCTTCTATTCTTCACATCATCTTGATACTTCTTCAATAAAGTTTGTTTATTTATCAACAAATAAAAATAAAAAAAAAATTTAGAGATGAAATTAGTGATGAATTACTATGGCACCAATTTTTTTTTGTCTAAAACAGTAAAACCTTTTTGGCACCAAATTGTTTTGTTACTAAAATGCATTTACTAGCGGCATTTTCAAAATTGTCACTAGAAGTCCTTTTTTTCTACTTTTCAGGATGATCTTTTGGCGATGATCCCCACAATGACAAGAATTGATCCTAAATGTTTTTTGCAACAAAAATTTTATTTTTAGGGACAAAAAAAATTGATTTTTAAAACTCTTATATGTTGTAGTTGTAGTAAATGCAGCTTGAGATTGCTTAGCTGCAGTAGTATGATCACATGTAGTATTACACCTGAGGTCTTGACTAAAACAAAAATCAGACACAAATTACAACAACTAAACTCCTATAGGGTAAATCGGCAAAAGAATGAAACATCCAAATTAATGTTAATTAAAAAGTAAAAACCAAAGCCATCAGGATATCAGATCTTCCAACCATATTGAAGAATAACCTAATTCACAACTTAAATCAAATTCTCAAAACAAAAGACACAAGTATGAAATAAGTTTCCCAAATACCTTGTTAATCATCACAAAGAAGAAAATGAGACCTCAGTATATTTCCAGTCTTACATTAAACAAGAAGCAAAAAAACTGAAGAAATAACAACTAAAATCAAAACAAGAACTCCAATCCTGAGCATAACAAAAACCAATAATACAGAAAACTTAAAGGAACTAAACCCTAAAGCACAAAATGGTTAAATAAATATTTAACATAGAAAAAAAAAGAAAAAGAAAAAAGAAAGATGGAACACATATTGTAAAAATCACAAATGGTCCAACTTCCAGGCACAGAACCTGTAGGAAATAACCTAACTAACGCAAACACGGAACAAAACTAAAAACAAAAACTCTTTCTCTTTCTCACACACACACATATTTTCAACTTCTTTGAAACCCTAAGTTTTCAAAATAGATGGTTTTGTAGTATGTCATTATCACCACATAACCAAGAAAACTAATAAAACCAAGAAAAACTCACTGATTCCACCATCTGCATGTATATATATATGCACACATACATTTAATTACGCATAGCAAAAGCCTAAACGAAAGAGTCCGCAATCATCTCCCAGATCTATAATGAAAAAATAAATAAAAAATAAACAAAAACAAAAAGCCAAAAAAATAAAAGAAAAAGCAAGGGGGGAGTTGGAAGGAGTACCTTCAAATCAAAGAAAATGCACAGCAATTCAAGAGATACAGTGATAGTCTGTGTGAAATTGGAAGAGAGGTCAAAAGATAGAGAGAGGGAGAGAGAGAGAGAGTTGTAAACCTGTTGGTTGAAAGATGAAAGCTTGAGAGAGAGAGCCACCAATTTTTGCTTTTGCCTTTCGTTGTGTAGGGTTCAAATTAACAGAAAAAGACAAACGAACAGCCAACAAGAAAAAGAAGGTATGAATGAACCAAAGTATAGAGAGAGAAATTTCTATGGGACGTGGTACAATTTCCAAATCAAAACTTCTTTTTTTGGCCAATGAGCGACTGCTCCCACCTTTGATCGTGACACGCGTGAGTATTTCTATGGCTACGGCTTTTTACGAAGCCACAGAACAAGATTTGACGTTGCTGCCATTATTAATGTTTTAGTACTTTTATTCCGCCAGACTGTAACGCGTGTTCATTTTTTATTTTTTACTTTTTTTTGGAATAAATTACTCATTAATCTTATATGGTTTCTCTAAAAGACGAGTCTTTTATCGTTTCATATGCAATATTTAAATTCTAAAATTTTATATTAAAATGTAATTTTGGATGAAATTATTTGTTTCAACAAAGCGTGTGTAACACGATTATAAAATTAAAAATTTTCATCCTCACTTACACTAAATAATTCCTTAAGTTTTTCTTCTTTCTAATTTTTTTGAAAATGAGAAAAGTTGGTTCTCTCTATAAAATGTTTCCCTCTCTCTCTAGTTTATCTCCCACATTTCTCCATCTTTCTTTTTTTTATTTTTTTTTATTCTTTTAAAATCTATGTCTATCATTCTCTTAATTTAAATAAAATTAACCCATAATACAGTATGTTTTTTTCAAATTAAAATCATGCACACACATACATTTATATATATATACACAATATGTATAAGTAAATATGTATTATATATACACAATATGTATAAGTAAATATGTATTATATATAAGTTAATATGTATGCATATATATTTTTTTTTGAACAGCAAAGAAAAGGATTTTATTGATGAAACAGAAAAAACAACAATTACATCAAAAAAGACTAGGAGGAGGAGTGCAAAGAGCATCATAGTGAACCCTATCAATCCCAACTAGGTTGGCACCGACAGGGCCGCACAATCATATGCTAGCACCACCACAAGAGTTGGTGAGGAACCAACCACAAACAACAAAGACTACCTCACCCAAAAAAGCATTGGCCACACCTAGAACAAACTAAGCAATCAATCTATTCCTATTCACCGGCCTCTCTGATCAACCATCCTCATAGCAGCAGCAGAGGAGACAACCAGAGCAACCAGCAGAAGAAGACTCTAGGACACTACAAATCTACCCAGCAGAAGAAGGCTCAGACAAGTAACTCTCTATAACCTTACTGATAAATCAAACTTCCATCAACCTTGGGTTTGTATCTTGGACTGTGTTTCCCACCTTGCCATCAATTCTACTACCTGCAGACCAAAACATGCCCAGCAGTCCAAAGCAGCTCAGAATCAACATGCCCCGCAGTCCAATTATAACAAACTAACTCCTCTGCTAAGAGGCCAGAGGAAGCATCAGACCACTGCCACTGCAAACTGCAATAGTCCAGCATCAGACCACTGCCACTTTCACCAGCATACCTGCACACAATGCTCCCTCTGCATCAGTCCAGCTTCACCAAAACATGCACCAAGACAGCGGTAGAATGGAGCCAACTTCCCACCCAGCAGCAAGCAACCCAGCAGCCCACACAGCTGGCCAGACAGTATTCTACACCCCAGCAGGCCAGAAGAAGTCCAACACCAATACCTACTTCAACCAATGCCCCTGATGCAGAACCTTACCTGTTGCAGGTTATTCACAAAATCATTTACAGAATAACCTGAGTAGCAAGCGCCAGCATCTTTGCACCACAACGCGACTCGCACTTTAATGGCCTCACACAGCTCCTCAAAATTTGGGTAAATGCCATTAAAGATACAATCATTTCTTAATTTCCAGATGGACCAAATCACAGCCAGAGGCATGGCCTTCCAAATCACCCTCTCTTTTTTATTCAGCCTTGTACCAACCCACCAATCAAACAGACAGAGCACTGAACCAGGTAGAACCCACTGCAAACCCCACCAATTTAGCATATGTGCCCAAACCTTCCAAACAAAAGGGCAAAGAAGAAGCACATGATTTACACTGTCCATTTCTTCATTGCAGAAAATGCAACTCACATTGGCCTCATCTGAAAGCACTCTAATTCGTTGCAAAAAACTAGAGGTCTTTAACCTTCCTTTCCATGCCAACCAACCAAAAAATTGAGCTCTAGGCGAAGAAACATTATTCCATAGCAGATCTGAAACCTTACATACTGTACCAAAGGAATTTTCACACCACTTATAAACCGAGAACACAGTGAAGTTACCTGATGGGTCTGCTTTCCAATGCAAAGCATCGACCACACTTTCCCTAAGGGCTGGAGCATTACTCAGCAGCAATTTCAGTCTATGCAAATCCTCCACCTCCCACTGAAAAAGTGCTCTTCTAAAATTGAGGTTCCACTCCACCCCACTGTTTCTTCTGGAGTGCAGCACATACACAGATATGTATAATTGAAACTACCCATCAATTATTTCTTTAGCTACATTAGCAACAGTTTCTATCTTTTCCTTCTTTTCTTTTTCTTTTTCTTTTTCTTCTTCTTTTCTTTTTTTTTTTTTTTTTTTTTTCTTTTGGTGCATAGAAACTACCATAGCTATCCAGCCAAATTAGGCAAGAAAAAAGACCTCACACAATCCACGAATATATAAATACATACATATATATATATATATATAACAGTCATAGCAAAATGGAAAGAAAAAAAAAATAGAGAGAGGAAATAGTGGGTAGTGACAAGAAGAAAGTGGGTAGTGCTTAGAGGAAATAGTGGGTAGTGCTAAGGTATTGTATTGGAGGTTTGTAATTGTATTGGAGGAGGTTTGTGGGGGTGTTTAGAGTTGGAATCTCTAAATCCTTTTGGGGGCTTAGAGATGCACATGATTAGTCTTACTTTGGGTGTCAACTTAGTTGGGATGCTTGGCTAAGATAATGATGCACATTCTTTCCAAGCTTTTGTATCTTTTACTATCTAATATAATTTTGCTTGCTTGCTTGCCGCTCAAAAAAAAAAAATGGTGTAGTGGTGGGTGTTGATTGAGTGGAGGAGATGTGATGAGGTTGGTTGGTGTTTACAATTATGGATTGTTTGTTTGGGTCTAAATTCTAAAGATAGAAAGATTAGTGTTTGTTTGGACTTAAATTCCAGAGAGTGAGAGATGAATATTTATTTAGGTCTAAATTCTAGAGAGAGAGAGAGAGAGAGAGAGAGATGTATTTGATGATAGTATGAGAGGTGTGTGGTTTATCATGGGATGAGAAAGAAGAAGAAGAAGAGAAATACAAAAAATTTAAAGAAAAATGAGAGAATATTCTGATTTGTAATGGCATTAAAAAGAAAATTAGGGAAAGAAATGAGGGTAATAAAGAAATGAGGGTAATTTAGACTTTTTACAACTTCTGTTACGTCCATCCGAAATTACACTTTGGTATGAAGTTCAGGAGTTTAAGTGTTACAAATGAAATTACAAGGGGGGCTCCATATTTTTTGGGTAAACCACATGGGTTAAAGTGTAATTTACCTTCTTTTTTTTAATTGGATGCTTGAGTTAGTTTATGCTCATCTCGATTAATTTCGAGACTCACGTAAAGCATTTCTTCTATGTGGATCGGATAAATCACAAACAGAGTTCGCAGGTGTGACCCCAAATAGGGATGTGCACGGTGCAGTTTAGACAGTTTAAGAATAAATTATAAATCAAATGGCGGATTAGCAGTTTTGTTGTTGATGGAAAAAATGAAAACAAGAAAGTAAAACAGAGGTGGTTCTCGGTTCAAAACTCTCTCTCTCTAAAACCCAAACTCTTTCTCTCTCTCTAAAACCTCCTTCCCAGGCCTCACTTTGGGGCCGGCCGGCCGCCGCCTTTGGCTATGGAGGTCGGCTGGCCCAGATCTTTTTTGTCTCTAGCTGTTAGTTTTCCGTTTTAATAAACTTGATTCCCCCATTATCTTCCCACCGGTGATGTGCGGGGCTGCCGTAGTTTTTGTTTGGTTTTTTGGGGTGTTTTGGTGATCGTTTTTGGTTGTTCTTTGGGTCGTCAAAGAGGATGATCCAGATCTAGTTAGGTTGCTCATTCGAGCGCTTCTTTGCGAATGGAAGTTTGAGGGGTGTTCTCGGTTCAGGTCTATGGAAGAGTTTCGGTGTTTGGTCGGAGGGAAGCATTCAAGCGCTTCCATGCGTATGGGAGTTTGAGGGGTGAACGCCGTCCAGATGTGTGGTGTGTTTTCAGTGGCTGGGTTGTTCGACCATAGGAGTGGAGAAGTGGAGATGGTAGTGTTTCGACCATAAGAGTGTTTGGGTTGTTTGGGTTGATCGGCCTGGGGTGTGTTTGGATGCATTGAGTGCTCGGAGTCTTGGGTGGCTATGGAGTTTCTCGGTCGGTTCAACAGCATAGGTGAGGTGTGGTGCAAAGGAGCGTGCAGCAGGTAGGTAGGTGTTGGGCGTGCAGCAGGTGGGTGTAGGGCGTTGGGTGCTGTCAGGTGTTAGGCGTTGGGAGTTGAAGCAACACAGGTGTAAAGCTTTAGTTTTAAAAAATAGCAAGTGGGTGGGAAAGATTTTGTTTAAAAATAGCAGGTGGCGTTGGGAGTGAAGCAGCATTGGATTTGGTGTGGGGTTTTGGATTTGGTTTTGGGTTTTTATGGGCTTATTTTGTGGGGATTCTTGTATTCTATTTTCTAGTTAAGTCCTTCTTAACTTTTTTTGTTTTCTTGCTTTAAAAAAAAATATTGTGAGGCCAAGGGGTTGGTTGTATGGATGCGAGTAGCAGTAGTAGGGGTATTGTGTACTTTTCGAATCTCTCTCGATGCATGTCATCTTCCTGTACCTTTAATTTCATGCTGTTAATGAAATTTTTCTTTGCTGATCAAAAAAAAAATGGCGGATTAGCAGATTGACAAATTACGGTTTGAGTGGTTTAGTACAGATTGACAGATTGAAAATATTCTAATAAATTATCAAGTATTTGCATAATATATAACATTAATTTACATAATATTATATATATACATATATAATACAAACTAATTTTACATAATATTTTTTATATATATAACTACAAGTTGTAATAAATTTCACGTTTTAAATTTTTCTCACACTTATTTTTACTTTGGTATTTTATTAT